AAAATAATTACTACAGTAATAGTAAAAACACCTACAAAATTAATAAATTTTTTTGAACCGAAAAATAATAAAAATATCTAAAAAAGTTATAATTTTTTTTGCAATAAAAATACCCACAATAAATTTTGAAAATATGATACTGAATTTTTTATATTCGATACCCTAATCAGGTCCTTCAAATACATTTCCCCCTTTTTTTTTTTCACTCACTTGGGTCATCAAGTTCAAATTCTTCCAACTCAAGTAGTGTTTACATTGACAATATGTGCTCTTTGGGTGGGTGCCATTTTCATAAAAGAATTCTCTTTTTTCGGAAATCTTTTCAGCATGCAGTTTAGATTATTGACTGGAAGATTCATTCTCTATCATTTTCTACAAAAAGACTATGTTCTGATCTTCCGTGTCGAATCAAAAATTATAATTTTTTAAGGTCAAATTATACTGTTTTACAAGTTATAACCACAAAAGACACGATCGATCCCAAAATATTATGATCGATTATAAAAATTACAACTTTTGAGAATTTTTTTTTGGTGGTAAACTAAAATTTTTAAATATCAAGTAACAACTTTTAAAGATTGAATTATAACTGGTTGAGATTATTCATGATCGATCATATCATAAGTAATCTCAAGCAATTATAAATCCGCCTAACTTAACATTGTCCGACCAAAGAAGTAGGTTGGTCAGTGGATTTGATTCGAATTTGCTACAAATATGCTGCGAAATTCATTTTGTAATTTGTTCCAAAGAAAAAACATAAACGCAATATAAATCTAATAACTCGTTGAATTTAAATTTAGTAAAAAATAACTTAATTTCAACATATATATTTCAAATAAGATCATAACCGTGTTGGATATTTATTGTAAAAATTTTAATAATTCGTATATGAAATTTAGAATATCTAAATTTACAAGATTTAGATCATACATATTCTCTTTTTTTTTCTTCGCTCATTGTGTTCCTAGTTATAGGTTTTTTTAAGGTTCATCAGTCAATGGTGTACACTGTACAGGCTAACTTACACCCATCTTAATTAATTCCCTCTTCTGTCATGTCAAAACTAGTCATTCACGTCATAATTAGGGTATTCATATAAAATAAATTTTTTATGATCTGACTCTAAAAAATTATTAAAATTTGAACTCAAAATATCTAAGTTTGTCAAGCGTTCACAGTTATAGTTACTTTAAGCTGTGGAGTGAAAATTTTGATATAATGGGCTGGGCTACTTTTAGGTTCTTAATGGACATAAACCCCTCGGAAAGTGGACCAAATTTTTTGGGCCCAAATTGGTAACTAGTTTTCTGTGTCTTAACTACTTCATTGGGCTTTTAAATGTGAAAGGTTCGTAACTAGCATTTGTGCTTTCAAGACTAGAACCCAAAACATCAAAATATGAGGTCCAGTAAAGTATCGGCTAAACTTCTCACTCTTAGTTTAAATGTTCGAGTCTTGGAGTCCACATTAGGCTCGGTGGTTGGCCGCTAAGTATAATCTAGCTAGGTTTTGTTCTTGAGAAAAATAACGAACGTAGTTAGGGGTTTTATGATTCCATCGGTGAAAACCTATCGGGATGGTCTCTTGGCGGTTTTTTTTGCCCCCACCCCTTTTTTTTTTTTTAAAGTATGGTGTCAAGAAGAAAGGATTAATCCAAATTATTAAAACTTTAAAACTGCCAAAAAAATTGACGTAAAATTTAATGTTGAAATCTCATTTTTTGAGTCCTAGAGTGAGTGTGCCATGCCCTAACATGTTTCCAATCGACCGTGATCGTGTGTACTCTTTGAACTTGGTTTGCCAATCTACTTTATATAGTAGAGTCAATATTGTTATACCTATTTGGTTACTCGTCTTAATAGATGAGAGGGACGAGAATTCCAAATTTCTCTTTCGATTTAACTAAAAAACATTAATACAAGTAACTTCTCCCCCCAAATAAAAACATTCTTTGAAATATTTGTCAAGGGTAATGCAAATTAGTAGGTACACCAAATTTGGAGAGTGAGATGGCTTACCTTCACCTACTTATGACATCTATCTTTCTATGTAACTTTATTCAACACTCATGCTCAATTGAATTCCAAGGTTGAATCATTTAAAGTAGAGTACACTCCATATGTACTGGTTGGGCTTTTTGTGGTGGGCTGGCCCTATGTAAGGTATGAGCCTTTGTTTGTTGAGAAAACCCACTTGGATTGGTTTAGCCATTGAATGAAAGCAAGATATACTTTAAAGTGTAGTTTAAGTGTTAAAAAGGACAAATTGTATATATAAATATTTTGAGTTTGAATTTTGATAATTTTTTGGAGTTAGGTCATGAGGGATTTATCTCTCATGAATACTCTAGCTCCAGTATAAATGATCTGCCTTTAACAAGATTAGGAAAAATATTAGTCCTGATGTTTGTAAGTTAATTCAAACATTCTTGACCGTTAAATAAAAAAACGAGACATAAATTAACTTGTCTTGGTTCAAGTTTCACTCTTTGTACAAAATTTAGGTTTTGTGTACATCCCAAGAATCTAAAGAAGCACAATAGAACCTCTTGTGTGAGTGTGACCCTTCTCTTTGGATTAGTATCTATTCCATTATTTCTTTGGGACAGAATCTATTTGCTTAACTAAAGTGGCAATGCTTTGGTCGAGCATAATCTGTCGACTGTCACTAACTCTTTGTTTCTTCGATAGGGCGGTGATACCATGTCATAGTCAACATATTATATCACCAACTAATTATAAACAAATACATAAGCATGTGGATCTAGTTGATCCATTAACAACCAATAGCTACCATGTTGGATGCAGTGGAGTTCACATGACTTGTGCATTTGTTTGTAATTGATTAGTGATACCACTTAACAATGAATTTATGATATATGTGTGTTTATTAAACGCTTTCTATTGGACATAATGTCAATGTAATGAAAAAAAAAAAGAAGTGCAAGTGTTAAGAATGCACACCACGCATGACGTACATCTAAGTCTGTCAATGGATTAAATTTTACTTCATATTTGATCTGAATCTGTATTTGATTAGTTAGATAGATTGATTTTTTGATCAATTACATAAATTCAAAATTTGAATCTATATCATATTTTATGTATTCGTGTTTAGATGTATCAATATTTGACACGATTAGAACTCGATTCAAATTTTTTGTCAATACATATATGAACAAATTATGGTGTGTTAAATAAGTAATGGCTTGTTAATATTCTATTTTCCTTTGACTTGGCCAATCACAAGTTCAAAACATAAAAAGATAAAATTGTACTTAGATTAGATCCCTAAAATTTGTCACTAAATCAGAGGGCCCCCATAAGGAAAATAACACTGTCATCCCATGAAATCTAATAGTTAGTAACATTTATCCCCCCCCCCCGCCCCCCCCAAAAGCTACCATCTCTTACCAGATTAGTCAAAATTTGATAACTTAGCAATTTTCTGAAGATGAAATGCCCAAGTTACCCCTATAGGTCCCATAGCCATACTTTACCTGACAAAAAAAAACGACCCATCCATCTAGGTTTTGATTTGAATTGAGGGCAGAATAGTCATATTAAGAATTTCATCAAGGTGGTCAATTTTTTAGGATAAATTACACTCAGGCCCTTGAAATTTATCACTTAATTATTTAAAAGTAATGCTGCATTGACTAAAATTAGAGACCAAAGAGACTGACTAAATGACATGGCAGCTGACGTGGAGAGTTTATTGTGCAAATACTCTTTATGGTTGAATATCCACATTGTGCAAATCAAAGAAAGAAGTGAATTAATCTTGTTATTTGATCACTCTTTTTGGTCCCTAATTTAGTTAGTATAACATTACTCATTATTCAAATTCCCTCAAATTTAATATATTATATTTAAATTCCCGGAGATTTGTGCACATGTAAATTCTCCAATTATCAATGTTTGTTAAGATAGTCGTTAAAAATTTGCCAATCTCCGTTAAATTTTTTTTTTTTTGGATTTTAAGAAAATAACTCTTTGGTTATTTGCGACTTTATTAGAACATACTAATTAGGGAATTGTTAAAACTCATTGATTGCTTGTTAGGTTATTGGTGTTAATTCAAATATATATATAGTGTGGCAAGACATGAGTTTAGGTATATAAGGTTTTTTTTTTTTTAAGATATCTGTTCTAATTAGGGTTTTCATATATTAGGTTTTTTTTTTTTTTGGGGGGGGGGGGGTTCTATAGTATTTTTCTTTGAAATATCTATTCTATTTCATCCTTTTTTTTTTGCCTTATGCCACTATTTTTTAGCAAATTGATAGTAAATAAAAATAGAAAATACTCATTGTTACTTAATTTCTCTTTGATATGCAAAGAGTATGGCTTATAATATGACAACATTGGTCTTTATATGTATAATGCTTCTTCAATGGTAAAAAAATTGGTGTTTTGAATGTTTGTTTGGTCAGACAACCAATTGACAGTGGGTCTCATATAAAGGATATTATTGATAAATTAATTTTTTATGTTATGATGACATCATAAATTTTTAAAATCTATTTTAACGGAGATTGACAATTGAAATTATTTGTTACATACGCACAAATCTCAGTGGATCTACAGATAATACGTCAAATATGAAAAGGTCTATATGATTAAGTGATAAATTTTAAGAGACTTAAATGTAATTTACTATTATTTTTAATTGTTACTAACAGGGTAACAGTATTATTATTCCTAATTTGCGTGATTTAGTGGAGGATCCATATGTAATTTATCCAAATTAATAGATTTCTCTAGTTTGTGGTCACAAAAGTTTTTGGCCTCGAGACTGGTAATTGAATGATTATCATTTTTTTCTATTAAATTTTAAAGTCATGACTGAATAACACCTTCGCTTTATATTTTAACGTTGGCCGATTACGTGATTGGAAGTCGTACTATTTTGAGGATTAGACTTTAGATTTTCAATTGTTGTTTTATTACTATATATATGTGTGTGTGTATTATATGCAATGTAAATCGAGCGCGATTCAAATGGTCGTTCACGGGCAAAGGTTGTTGTTGAAGGCTTGAAGCTTCCAGGAAACTGCTCGACGTATTGGATATTATAATTTGTCTGCCATCTTTCCTGACTGTGTATGTTATTTGTTATCCTTCTCGTTTCCTCCATCATTGATTCTTATGTTTCCGATTGATTATTAAGAAGATTACGCAATTTTTTTTTTTAATCTGCTTGTAGTTTCTGGTTGACAAATTGCCCTCCAAAAATCCTGAAGATCAATTTTCGAAGCAATTTATGTGGTTTTTAATGTTAATAGTTGGTGGGTTTTGTTATTCTGATTTGGGCCTATTTTGCTCGGCACTTGGCCTGCTGGGTTTTGAAGATTTCAATAAGGTAACGTTTTAATGGGTCTTCATAGGTTTTTTTTTTGTTGATATGGTATTTGATTTTGATATTGGTACAGTGATTGGATCATTTGAGGGTTGATTAGATGTTGAAAGATTGAATTTTTTTTTTCAGGGGTTAATGATGGGTGAATGTAAATCTTTGATGGATTTGTTCAGTTTTGATGACTCGACTTGATTTGAATTTGGTCCATAGTTGATGAATTTGTTGGGTTTAATTTTATATATTCTCAACAGAATTATTTGCTGCTGAAACATTGAAGATTATTGGAAACTGTGAGAATCTGTGTAGATTTTATTTGATCCTCTTCTTCTAATTACTGTGGATTGGGTTCATTGATTAAAGATAGTTAAGGTAATTTATGGACCTAACTCGGGAAGAACTACGCGACGATGGAGAGGGAGAGGATATGGAAAGAGAACCATTAGCAGGTACCCACCTGAAGGAGAACAAATTTTATAGGACACGGTATCCTGGTGCTGTGAGGCAAAAAGCCTATATATTTGATGGAGAAGGGAATTATTATAACAAGGAGTGGGATCTCATGGAGGGTAGTGGCCAAGAGTTTTGTTGGTATCATGTGGAACTTCCAAAAGGGAACCAGAAGCTGTCACAATCTGCCCAATACCTAATTGATGTTCTTTGCCCACCCTTGAAACTCCAGGACATTCTCTCATTAGTTAGCAATGGACCTTTTTGTGGGCATGTAGATGGCGCTCTTGTATTCAGGGTTAATTCTCCAGGCCCTGCTTCTAGCAAATTTACCTTCAGGATTGCTGCAAGAGTTACAGAGAATTCGGTGATTACTGTGTCTTTGGGTCGTGTTCCCAGATTGGGTTTTTCGCCAGTGGGTCAGTCTCTTTTGTCAGAGATTCCTAGTGTGGAAAGTCCAAATTATGTTGGAGACGAGCAAAAAGACAGGGGTGGTACTGTGATCAGGGAGCATGTTCTTGATTTTTTATTGACAATGAATCATTCTGAGGAGGCTGATAATCCTGTGCCGAAATCTGTCTCAAATCTTCTTGTTCACATTATCGACACACATGTGGATCACCTCCAAGATGTTGTGACCAAACTCGAAATTGAGCTAGATTCAGTAGAGTTGGAATTGGATAAAGGTAAAATTATGGCCTATCTCCATGCCATTTGCTTATAATATGCATAACCTCATGACTGTCATGTTGTTATTTTTCTAGGAATACACTTATATCTAGTACTTATTGACATCGGAGACATCAAAAGATTACAATATTGGCTTTTAGGTTTGTCCTTTATATCAATTAGGTCAGAGAACTCCTTCGAACTCTTAGTTTGGCTTAATGATTGCTTCGGTTTAGATTGTGCTCGTGTGGAGAGAAAACTTCTTTACTCCTGATCTGTCCTTTAGTTTCCTTGAGAGGGTCTGGAGAGCATCTTGACTTCATAGTTTCATGCTCAAAGGTAATGAATGAATTGTGAGTCCAGCCATTTTATTACTAGTTTAAGGTATTGCACAGCAGATTGTTTGACGAACTGTTCTGAAGGTTTCAAGTTGGTTGACTTTACGACAGTTGTTTGAAGCTTTTTGAGGGCTCAAGAATTAAGGAAGTAGAAGCTTTGGAGGGTTTAGCTATGCAGGAAGCTATAATTTTTGCTAGTTGAATATGAATAGACGACAATGAGTAGAGTCTTGATTGATTATCGTTGGTCTTGTGTTAAGACTGGTTTGGAAGTGGATCATAGTGGGAAGTGGTTTTTGTTTCGGCTTGGCACAGCCCTACTATTTGAGCATGTGTACGTAATACTTTCAGAAGAAAGTTCTTTCTTTTTTAATTTCATTGTGAGGCCATGTGTTAAAACATGGAATTAATAGTTTGTGGCATTAAGACATCTAGACATGGTGAAAGACCATAATAAGATTATTCCTATGCACTTTTATTTTGATTAGTTTGTTAATTTTATTAAGAAACTCTGAGTTCACAACTCGAGTCAATCCAGGATACCAAAGCATAGAGGAGTTGGGATTGTGGTGACCTAGACACATCCCACTTTGCTTGGTGAAGTGTGTGCGAAATGATTGATAAGTGTGGAATTTGAACCTTCACTATAAAAATAATCTGTGAAAAGCTTCTTAATGTAGGGGTTTGAGTAGTAAAATAAAGTAGTTCGATCTAGGAGATTATTTTTAATGGTGTTCATTTTACAATGAGGATGAAGAAGTTGTTCTGCTGCAAGTGTTTCGTTGTTGGAACACGGTCAAGCTATATTAGTCCTGATTAACATTGGACTTTCACAGTGTTGGCCTGTATTATTTTGTCAAGCTTTTTTAGAATTAAAACTTAACCCCTTTACCACCTGCTCTGTCCCACTAATTGAGCCTACAGATCCTCCTCTGTTGGTGCTTTAAGTCTTTAACAAATATGGATGAATAATATTGTGGTTGAATTTCGTAAAAAATCATGGTAATTTTAAGAAAGCTTGGTTAAAACAAAAAAGGGTAAAAGATAAAAACTGCATGTTTTTTGTTAATTGTCATCAAAAGGGGTTCAACAGACTTGGTCAATGCCACTCGCACATGTTTTATTATGCATATATGTTCCCCTTGATATAGAACACAAAAATTCTTGCTTACTTGGTATAACTACACAAAGTGGCATAGTCAAATTGAATAAAATAGAAGAAACTTCAACTTAGTAAATAACTGCTTACATACCTTATTAACAATGTTTTCAGTGCGTAAATGTTCATGTTTTGTTCTTGGCTGTTTTTGCATGATAATTTCCATTTGGTTGCAGGTGGTTTTACCTTAAAAAAGCAAATGCTAGATGATAGAAGATTCCCAAAAATGCATGCTGACTTGCAGCGCCTCCTGCAGGTAGTTTTTTGGCCAGCACTGATTGATTGAGATGAAGAAAACGATTTTTAAATATCTTTAGTTTTAAGTTAACTGTAGTGATTGTAACTTGTTTTATAATTTTACGAGCTGCTGTCCAATATAAGTGGCTGTGGACCTGTGAAACAGTAATCATGAAATCATGTGACTCAATGTGAGATGGAGCCTAAGGAATGTATTTGTACTGATATAGTCGAATTGGTTCCCCCATAGGAATGCCCTTAGACCAAAAAAATCCAAGCAGCTCTTTATTGGAAAGTTGAATTCTCAAGATTGGAAAGAACTTATGGTCTTGCTGTGGGCCATTAGAATTCAGGGGTCACTAGTTTTGACCCGATCAGAATTTTTCTCATTTCAATTGATTTTATTTTGTTCATGTTTAGTATTCCCGACTCTCCAAGGGACGTGACTGGGTGGAGCTTACCCTACCCATTTAACCTAAACTTATGCACAGGAAATTTCCTAATATTAATCTACTATTCTATGAAAGCATGTAGTAGATGTTGATGTAGTTTGCATATGATTACTGCATGACAGGTGATTGCAAATGGGGAGCAAGTATTTCCACGAGTCAGGGAGAAGTGCTCTTCAAAAAATTGGTTTGCCAGTGAAGACATTAGCTCCCTTGAGGAGTTAATTGGACGTCTCAGGAGACTAAAGGAGAATGTCGGGTTTATAGCCAATCGTGTTACAGCAATCCAGGCTGGTCTTGATAGCTGGCAGGCTGAGCAAATAAATAGAAAACTATACTATCTGTCTTTCCTTTCCATCATATTTCTTCCTTTATCAGTAATCACTGGAGGTTAAAATCTTTATATGTAAACCTTTATAAGAAGTCAAAATCAAATTTTACTCTTTTATCCTTATATTGGTTAAGATGCATCTGACGCCAGTCACTTTGTGTGATTTTTGTAACAGTGTTTGGGATGAATGTGGGAGGAGTTCCATGGACAGAGCAAAGAAACCCGAAGGTGAAAGAAGGGTTTCGCAATGTCATGTTTGTCTGTTTCGCCATGCTACTGCTTGTGCTTCTTTGCTTCCTTTTTCCAGCTCTTTATACTCGTATAGCTGCTTGGCGGAGAAGGAGAGCTCTGAGAAGAAGCTGGTCTCTAAACCGGAAGTCCTTTCTCAAGAGAACTGTGACAGGTGGAGACAGAGGAGGTTATCTACGGATATAATAAGAAAAAGTTTTTGTGGTACATTTTTTTAACTTATCCTCATCATTATTGTCCTGATCTTTGGCATACATATGTATTTTTCTATTCAGGTCTTTTGGTGATTGGGTATTTTTTTTCAGGACAAATTTCCCTCACCTTTGCCTTTGAGCAAGTTGGTTTGAGATGAATTTTATTCCAATACTCCATGTTGACATTTATTTATCCATTCCCTAGAAGTAGGATTCTTGATTGTGGTCTTGATCTCTTCGGCCGAGGTGAGCCAATCATTATTTGGTTCTAATTTTTCTTTTTTCCTTTTTCCTCAACTTGTAGTTCCTTGTAATACACTGCTCTCTCCCCACCTTGTAAAGGGATTCTGTTCTTTAATTTTTCAAACACATTGAATGACATTTCTACTGTGATTATTGACTTCTTTTTTCTTCTGAATGCTACTTTGAGGTGTTAAATACTACTTTAATACTATGCCATTCCTTCTCTTTTTCTTTCTTATTCTTGGTTTGGAGCTTCTGGGGGAACGGGGTACGTGGATTAGGTTGTACCATTTTGACATCCTAAACGGTCAGAGTCATGAAAGGCCCCCTTGATGCTTCTATTTGTGAAACTTTACTCTAATTATGGCAAAGGGAACCATCAAAATTCAAAACAGCTCAATGGCTGCTGCATTATCATAGATTGTTTTGCTGACAGAGTACCCTTTGCAATATTGTCAGCACTCAGCAGCATTGATCATGTATGTATGCATTTTTGTGGGAATTTGGAGTTGGATTCTTTGGCACCATGAATAGTTTCAGAATTTCGATTTAATCACAAAAAATGCTGTGAAGTCACTGTATGATTGTTTCATATTTCTCACTTTATTATGCAACAGTTTTGTCTCTCATCCTGATTATTTTTAATTTTTTTTGTGATAGATCATCCTGATTGTAGTTTTCATGTCTTTGGAGGTAGCTGAAACATTTGTACAAAAAGCTTTATGATTCATTGAGTGATGTACTTATGTTGGTTTCTGTTCTTTTCAGACTTATTTCTCAAACTTATTTTTATTTGGAAAGAAGAAAAAACTGAGGAAACGGGGGAAAAAATATCATATTTGTTGATTTTTGGGCATTTGAATTGGAGTTTCGGCGGGTATTTGTTGAGCAGCAGCACCAAATAAAAAAAGGAGCTTCAGCTAGTTTTTCTTTTTTGGTTCAACAGTCAGATTTGTCCGAGTTAGTTTACACCAAGACTAAAGGAATAAATTTTTCATAACTTGACCTCAAGAAATTACCGAGATTCAAACTTAAGACGTCTGTGCAGCTCATCTTTGCTATCACTTGAGATACTATTTAAATTTCAGCCAGTTTTGAAAATGTTGGTGTAACTGCAAAGGGTGTTTTATTATTTTCTTCAAAGTTGTAACATGGCACATTATCAGAGTTGAAACCATGTATGACTAACTTCTGAACAGTTCAAGCTTTTTTTTTTTTTTTGCCCTTTTTCTGGACTTTGATTTTTTGCCATGTTATATTAAAATAAGTGGTTGTTGGTGCATTGATAATGTGATTAGTGTGGACATAGGGACATAGAATGATATTATTGAACAATGAAAATCCGAGCCAACTTATATAAACAATATATATATATATATATATATATGATAAAATTGGGTGATTATTTTATCAAACAAGAGTTATAAATTAATATGTAATATGTTAAAATTCAGCTTTAGTTGAGATACACATATAGAACATCCATTTTTGACAAATTTGAATATGAATTAAAAAATGAAATATGTTGAGTAATTATAATAGAGATTTTAAATTAGATTTGAGTTGGTCAAGATCAGAATCGTTGATAGGCTTATTCTAAGCTAAACTTTGCTAAAATCGGTGTTCTATACGATGATTTTTCATTAATTTCGTTTTCAGGTATGTTTTTGTATCACGTTAGAAATTATCACTCTTAATACCTTTAGATAATCAATTTTTCTCAACTATAATTCACCTTACGTTGTTAAACATCTATCAATTAATGTTATAATTACTTGAATTTTGTAGTAATTTATTTTTAATAAGAGAATGGTGGGAGGGGCGATCAGTAGTAACCCTTAGATTTGATCACGAGAGTTCATATTAAAAATGTCTGATTTGAGATATAGCTATTAACTACAACATAGTTCTTCACTACATCACCGTCAAAATTAAATAATAAATTTTATTATTTAATTTTATTTAATAATCATATAAGAATTAAAGACGATGCCTTCCTACTATACTATCGTGTGGTTATAACTTCATAATTTAGCATAGCCGTGATGAATCTAGAACCTTCACGTGTAACAACTACACACTTCTTCTCTCTCTCTCTCTCTCTCGGCGCGTCTCTGTTCTCTCTCATCTCTGCTGGACTCTGGAGCTCTAAAACCCTAAACCCTTGTAGCAAGCACAAACGCGGAAATCGAAAGTACTTCTGATTTCTGAAAGGAAAAAGGGAAAACAAGATCGATATATCCATTAGTCATATTCAATGGCGACCTCGGTGTTGCTTAGATCTCTCCGTCGTCGTGATCTTTCTTCCGCTCCTCTCTCTGCCTACAAATCTGTACTTTTCTGTTCCATTATCACCGATCATTTCATCTTTTTTTTTTGTTATTATTGATCACTTTCTAACTATGTTATAAATTCAGTGGATTTTGTTATATTTCCGTTGCTGATTTTCAACTGGCCCTTGTGTCTTGAAGACTTAGCCTTAGGTTTCTGATTTCTAATTGTTAAAGAATCGTTTTTGTAAGTGCTTTCTAAGTTTTATAGCATATCCATTGTTGCATATTCTTTGTAAACTCAGGTTGTACTGTCCTGATGATGGATTTTTGCGGGTGTTAGTTAATGGTTTCTTGTTTTTTTTCTTTATAATAAAAAGAGAATATAATTATAGTATCCATAGTGGCGTGTTCTTTGTGGGCTTAGGTTGTACTGTTCGTATGATGGATTTGTGCCAGGGCGCTCGCTAATGTGGTGGCTGTTTATTTTAAGAGGCGTAATTTGGTTTGGCAACTGGGATAACATGTAATTGAATCTGTTCGGTGTCTATATAGTTGTAGATGCCTATCAAGAGAATTAATTAGTTTTTAGTTGTGCATTACTAAGACTTTTAGTTGAGACCTTGCATGCTATTTCTGTTGATTTCCATCATGATTTTGTAGTTTTGAGAACGCTACATCTTCTTTCTACTGATGGGATTGGTGTTGGGTCAATTTTCTTTGAGAACATAGTATAACGTATGTGTTATATTCTTATTTGGAAAGTTCAGTGTGAAGATATTGGTTGTTGGGCAGTGAAAGATAAGATACATAATATGTTGTTTATTGCTAGGCACACAAAAAAGGCTCACTTATTTGTGTTGCTCTTCTAGTCAACTGTTGGTAGACATCCTGTCCTTAGGTTGTTATATTTGGGCTATGGATAAAGAAAAGTTGTCCCGTGTTTATACGGTTGGATTTTGTCATATATGCTGTTTCATATTCTTCTTTGAAATGCCTTGTGTCACAAAACTCTAAAGCTGAGTAGCCACTTGTCCCTGGGACTCTAAAGCTTCAGTTGCTGCTCTCCATAATATTCTTGTGGGTGCTCTGAGCTTGCTTGATGTTAGGATCTTTCATGACCTTTGCTTGTTGTGTTTGAACTGAATTTATAGGTGATAGTGAGTTGTTTATGCGGCGTTATACTTTGTACTGTTTGTGCAGTTGACTGGAAATGGAAAGTCATCTTGGGCCACATCCCATTTGGGTCACAAATGGTCCATTTTGGCCAGACCATTCAGGTGCTTCAGACATTTAGTTTATTGTATTATATGTATGCTTTTATAGTCCTTGGTTTTTCTGTGTTAATTACTTTTGTCTTGTTGCTTCAGCTCAAAGCCTGTTGGGAATGAGGTCATTGGTATCGACTTGGGTACGACAAACTCATGTGTTGCACTCATGGAAGGGAAGGTTAGACTTTTGTTTGCCTGAGAAAGTCATTTATTATTCATAGAGTTCATGTTATGTAACAGCTCTGATTGACACTTTTTTTTTTGAGGGATAGAATCCTAAAGTGATTGAAAATTCTGAGGGATCTCGGACCACACCATCAGTGGTTGCCTTCAACCAGAAAGGAGAGCTTCTTGTGGGTACTCCTGCCAAACGTCAAGCAGTGACCAACCCCACCAACACAATTTTTGGAACCAAGCGTCTGATTGGCAGACGGTTTGATGATCCCCAGACGCAGAAAGAAATGAAAATGGTTCCCTACAAGATTGTCAGGGCTCCCAACGGAGATGCATGGGTTGAAGCCAATGGACAACAATATTCTCCAAGCCAGATTGGGGCCTTCATTCTAACCAAGATGAAGGAAACTGCCGAATCTTACCTTGGAAAGTCAGTGAACAAGGCTGTGATCACTGTTCCAGCTTATTTTAATGATGCTCAGAGGCAAGCAACAAAGGATGCTGGGAGAATTGCTGGCCTTGATGTGCAGAGAATTATCAATGAACCCACAGCTGCCGCACTTTCTTATGGATTGAACAATAAAGAGGGCCTGGTGGCAGTTTTTGATCTTGGGGGTGGCACATTTGATATTTCTATCTTAGAGATATCTAATGGTGTTTTTGAGGTATGCAACTTAATTAAGTAGTGTGTAGAGTTTTTTCTCTTGGTCTTTATCAAGGTGTATTCAAAACTAATTTTTTTTTATGCAGGTGAAAGCGACCAATGGTGATACATTCTTGGGAGGAGAGGACTTCGACAATACCTTGTTGGAGTTTTTGGTTAGTGAGTTCAAGAGAACCGAGGGGATTGATCTTTCAAAAGACAGGCTTGCCCTCCAGAGACTGAGAGAAGCAGCTGAGAAAGCCAAGATAGAACTGTCATCAACAACTCAGACTGAAATCAACCTGCCATTCATTACAGCAGATGCATCTGGCGCTAAGCATCTGAATATCACACTGACGAGATCAAAATTTGAAACTCTAGTGAACCATCTGATCGAGAGGACTAGAAGTCCTTGCAAGAGTTGTTTGAAAGATGCTAGCATATCAACTAAGGAGGTGGATGAGGTCCTCCTTGTTGGAGGGATGACCCGAGTCCCAAAGGTGCAGGAAATAGTTGCGGAAATTTTTGGTAAGAGCCCAAGCAAAGGGGTGAATCCTGACGAGGCAGTCGCCATGGGAGCTGCTATTCAAGGTGGTATTCTTCGAGGTGACGTCAAAGAGTTGCTTCTGTTGGATGTAACCCCCCTATCACTTGGTATTGAGACACTGGGGGGTATCTTCACCCGATTGATCAACAGGAACACAACCATTCCAACTAAGAAGAGCCAGGTGAGTTCCGAAGCCTAATTTTTAGGTTTAACATATTTGCCAGAAAACTACGAGAACTGATTACATTTGTAGTGTTCTCGTTGCAATGTTCGGTGCCTAATTGCTAATTTACTGTAACCTTTAGATTTTATTCGGGTCTCTAATCTGGGATCCAATGCATATTGATCTTTGGTGAGATTGGATTGGCTGGTTATTAGCTTGACATTTAGATCTGATAGGTATCTGGGATGTTAAGGTTATTGTTGTCTTTTATACATCACTGAGTGGCCCTGTAGTGTATTTGTGACTAATTGGCCCCTCTTCAATTGCAGACATTTTCAACAGCTGCTGACAACCAAACTCAGGTGGGAATTAAAGTACTACAAGGGGAACGTGAGATGGCATCTGATAATAAGCTCCTGGGTGAGTTTGAGCTTGTGGGCATTCCTCCGGCTCCTAGAGGTATGCCTCAGATAGAAGTCACATTTGACATCGATGCCAATGGAATTGTAACTGTTTCTGCCAAGGACAAGACCACTGGTAAAGAACAGCAGATAACCATTCGGTCATCTGGTGGTCTCTCTGAAGATGAGATTGAGAAGATGGTTAAGGAAGCTGAGATGCACTCACAGAGAGATCAAGAAAGGAAGGCTCTGATAGACATAAGGAACAATGCAGACACCACCATATACAGTATTGAGAAGAGTTTGAATGAATATAGGGAGAAGGTTCCAAGCGAAGTGGTGACGGAGATTGAGTCTGCTATTGCTGATTTGAGGAATGCAATGGGGAAGGACAACATTGATGAGATCAAATCAAAGCTTGATGCAGCAAACAAAGCCGTATCGAAGATTGGACAACACATGTCTGGGGGTTCTGGTGGTGGTTCATCTCCTGGAGGTTCTCAGGGTGGTGGTGACCAGGCCCCTGAGGCAGAGTATGAGGAGGTAAAGAAGTGAAGGAGCTAAAACCAGTGACATAAGAGTTACGTCCTTATTTTTTTCCTTTTGCGGTCGGGATATAAGGTTTTTAGCAGTTTTTTATTTAAAACTTGGAAGCTTGTTTGTACTAGAAGTTCCTTGTTTATCCACTACTATCCATGCAAGCTAAAATTTCTTCAGTAGATTGTGGAATTAAATT